GAATGCAAATATAGTTTGTTTAGTTTGTTCTTATTGTATAAAACCAACATTTTTATTTAATCTCTATATATTTTATTTAACTTTGTGTATATATATATATATATATATATATATATATATATATATATATATATTACAAAAAAAAAATTTACATTGTTTACCCCTTCATTTTTAAATGTTCGACTTTAGATTATGAAATAAAAAATGATCAAATAATATTAAATGTAATTAATTGTATAGGTAATGTTATATATACATTTTCTTAGAATTGAAAAATTTGGAAATCTGAAAATAAAAATAATGTCAACTAATCATGTAGCGAAGATTTATATGTTTATATTTTTATAATGTCAAGCTAATGTTCTTCGATATAATTGAGCAATACATTAATCTTATAAGAAATTGCGATTCCTATATAAATAATATCTATATTATGTTTATGAAAGTTGTTGCTAGCAGCAAAATGATCATATAATATTTCTTAAATACAACAACGTAATAATACAATTTAAAAAATATGAATGGTACCGTCGAACAGTAATTATAATATACATTAAAGTGAATTTATCTATATTTGTCATTATTAATCATTGATGTATTAAAATCAAATGAACGGGTCGATACGAGTATAAATTAGTTTACGATACGATTTATTGACTACAATTCGTTTCTCAGGAAGCAATGAATAAGAGTTTCGGTGTGCCGTTTGTTATTACTGCTCATTGAACTCAAACTACCTCACCTGACACGCTAATTTCGCTAGACGTACGTCGCGTGACGACCTGTAACTCGTCTCACCATGCCGTCACTCTACTCCCGGGCTCGCCCTTTCCCAACTCAATACTCTTCTATTCTCGTGAGCTTCGGGGCTTATTATCTCGTTATTCACCTGGCGGTGGTATAAATTTTGTGTAAAACAGGGAAAAAGGATATAAAGATAGAGAGAAACGATAGAGTGAGAGAAGATAAAAAATTGTAGATTGAAGTTATTGTAGGTGCTCTAATTTTTGTTGAATTAATCGATCGTGTTATTCGACATTTTACATGAATGTGAGGAAAACTTACTTTATACGAATTATATATCAGAATTGTATTTTAATATTTAAATCAATTTTCATTATCTATTGATATTGATTGAATGTGTCATAGGTTGATATTACAATTTTCAACAGTTTTTAATTGTAATCAAATTATAATTTACTTGACACGACGAAATCTAACACTAGTTCATTCTTAACTGGTAATAATCGTTTTAAATTCTAAGAGATTTAAATTAGTACATGCATATTCAACCTCGTAAATAAACTTGTCTAAATTATTTAATATCTCTCTCTCTCTCTCTATCTGCTTGTTTATCTTCGTTCCTTCCACTTTATTTGTATTTCATATTTTAACATTAAACAAACTTTCAATATATCCTAGTAAAAAAGTGATTCTTATAGACTCTTAATCAGATTATGTTTTTGAAGTTATCGTATTGAGAAAAAGTTGAATAAAATAATAATCAGTTTTCTAAAGTAAATTTCCCGTACCAACTTGTCGACTCTAAAGTTATAATCAACTTTAAAAAAAAAATTAAATATTACTCACGTGTGATATATACAAATAATATTTTATCAGAGATATTTATAATTAAAAACAAATGTGTATATATTCTTATTCATAATGTTGATTTAATTTGAAATCTCACTTTAAATAGGTATATTTAATAATTTATATAATAAATTAATAAATTAAATAATAATAAATTTCAAATAGGTATTTATATTATATTGAATAGGTTTATAAAATACTATTACATTAATAAGACAATTTTAAAACTAGTAAGAATTATATATAATAGAATTTTTTTCAAATAAACTATGTTTCATAAGTAATAGAGATGAAGAGATATACAGTGATGTTTATAATATAATTGATTTAAATTTTATTGCCAATCTATAAGATATACACAAAAAAAATTCTAGTTTAACTAGAAAATTCGAACAATCGAGCTTACAGTAATTAATGTAATTTATTTTCCTATTATTATCTTTATTATATCGTAATTTTAGCAAAACCGAAAAAAAATTCATTAATAATTAGATAGCATAATGTTAATACAAATATTTTTCTAATTTTTAATTCATTAAAAATAATTTACATCATTTATTATGGAATTATTATGTGTGCAAAATACGAACATTTCATAAAAAATATTATTTATAATTCAAATTTCATGCGCCTACCATTAAAAAAAATTTTACATATGCCTTACAAAAATAGAATTAGATGTCATTAAATTTTATCTTTGTTTTGTATTTGCAAAAATTAATATATATAAAAATATATAGTTATAGTTAAAATGTATGTAATTTAATTAAAAGTACAATTTATTAAGATTTGAAAATTAATTGGTAATATATTCTAAATATTTACAATATTTAGTTTAAGTTAGATAATTCTCGATGATATTTTAGTAAATTCATCAACGTTACTTTTGATTTACATGTGATGATAATAATTTATTTTAATAAAAATATATAATTGTTAATTGATAGAGAACGATTTCTATTTCTAGAGATTTCTACTATTACAGATGTATTGAAGATAATTTATTATTTAGTTTGAGCAAAGATTTTTTAGTTTTTATTTTATTGGTATATAAAATATTTATTTAAACATCTACATTATCATTTAAATAATGAGATAAATTAAAAATTTATTATTATTCCATTTATTTTTACGTTTTTTACTGAACACATTGTAATTATTACGGTACTTAAGTTTTAAATGATATGAGCACAAAATAAAATAGTACATAGAATATATATATATATATATATATGATGAATAAAACACATCAACGTTTATGTTAGTAGGTACATTTGCTTTTTGCAGTCGATAAACAGAGCAGATTAAAATGTGCAATTTAAGTCGATAAGCTTTAAAGTATTTATGCCTTTTTTACTGTTTATTTTTCGAAAAAATTGTACATTTAAAATAAAAATGTTTGAAGGATTATATCAATAACTTAAAAAATTTCAGACAAGTTGGATTATAATTTGGAAGTAAAATTAACATCAGTATTTAAAAATCTTTAAATTTCTCATTTAAAATTCCAGGTATTATAACACAATACTAAATAGAAAAAAATTTATTATGGTATATGCGTATGCTTTTTTTATTTATATATGCTAGATTGTTTGTTTGTTTTGCATTAATAACTTACATTAATAATGTATGCCTAAAATTTCCACTGTTAAACAAAATACTAACAGTATTTAATTTTATGAAATTTGTTCAATTAACACTAATGATTAAATAGATATTTTGTTCATATTGATTTATCGTTTAAACCATGTTTTTCTTCATTTTTTCTATAACTTTCTAGGCATGTTTTAAAATGTATAATTGTTGAATGACCACTATATTAATGATATTACGAGCTCCTAAAAATTACTATGGCTAATTGATCTACCGAAATGGAAATGGTAAAGATTTTTCAACTCAATCAATTATTGTGAGGATTGTACATGGAAATATTGCAATTTTACGAAAGAGGATTAAACAAGTGTTTGCTTTTAGTAATGTTATAATTTTCATTTAGTAAAATTAAAGTCATTAAAATATTAGCTTTTATGTTTATATAATATAGAAAGCTTTAATAAATAAAATTTAAGTCTATAAATATTTACAAAATTCGTCTTTGTGGATATGGATGTGTATGTACTGGTGCATAGGAAATTTGATTAAACACTGGTACGAGTATGCAATGTATTGCATAAATACATGTAAATAACATTCCTTTTGTCTTTTGAGTGTTTACTTGATTTATTTCATAACTTTCTGTTTCTCTGAAATAATAATTTTAAAGTTATAAAGTATTATTCCTGTATTTTAAATTCGTTTTTATAGATTTTTCTATTATAAGAGATTTATATGCTATGAATTACATATAAATTTTATTTATAGTATTTTCCTTTGTCCCTCCGACAATTATAATCATAAAAGAATTACACGTACTTTTTTATATATTCAGTCTAATGAAAAAAAGAAAAATTATGTATAAAGATGTTTAATACAAATTTTTTCTGCGTCCAATTTTCGTCTTATATAATAGTTTGTATTTTGATAAAATTTGTAGCAAAATAAAAAATATTAATTTGAGTTTTAGTTTTATTTTAATTTTTAATTTAATCTGATCACCCATAATGATTTAAACTGCAAAATTAAATTTTCTTTATAATTTTTTATTTGATAATCAGGAATGCTACAAATTGTGAAAAACAATTAAAATTATTTTGCTTCACATTGTTCGTGTAAAATCAGATGAATTTCGGTAAAAATTAATTAAAATATTAGTAGTTTGCCGGATGGTGTGGGATTTTATTTACTCGATATAATCATCAAGTGATTTGAAAATTGCATATCTAAATGGAATTTATACATTATATCTATGTATATCTTATTGCAAAGTAATTTGTATATTACAACGGAGCACGCGAATTGTATTAATAGAGTGGAAAATGTCTATATAAACTCACTTTACTTAATTTGATAACAGTTGGTAAAGCTTAGTTTCTAAGCTTATTAAGGGCTTTCAAATCTGCATTACAAAATATTGCTAAATAAATGAAAAATGTAATAAATAATTTAATTTTAATTTTTCGTTGAATTATTCCAAAAATTTATATACGTATTTACTGACAAATATTCCATTTTACAGAAATACTGTATTTTTAGTAATGCAAAAGTTATTTGTTTGAGAATGTACATAATTTTTCTCACTAAAAATCGTTAAATGAAAACTATTTTAAATTAATTTTTTTTTCTTTATTAAAATTTAACAAAAAGAGATAATTATTACGATTCACTTTGGAAATCTTAAGCGTTGTTATAAATATCTTATAAACGAAACTACTACAGTCAATAACGCAGATATGAAAATCCTTTCAAGCAATAATTTATAAAAAAAACTATAATAATGCACTGTGTAATTTGTTGGATATTTGTTGCAGTACGGCAGTCCCGGCTCGGGGTGGCGACATCCTAATGCAATGTGGTCTGTCTCTCCTAAGTATATTTATAATATACAATACTTTTTACTTTAGACACTCCTGCACCGCTGTATATATATATATTCAACTTTAGCACACTTACAAAAAAGCAACACATGGTTATATAATTATTATTACAACTACTATTATACAATTAGCGTTTATAAGCTTCGATCGACCAGATGAAGACGAAGATACTTACAGTGCTTTATTGTCAAAGCTGGGTTGAGCTTTTCAATTTCAATTTTTCATTCAATGCGTACACACATTCATAAAAATGCGCTTAATTCTAATATCGCGATTTGTACGCAAATAGATATGTAACTTTTTGTATGTAATTTTTGCAAGAAAAATTTTCCATTTTAACGCAATTACCTGAATACATTCGTAATTGTTCTGATTATTTTTATGATCTATTTTTCATTTTCTTCTTACACAAGTACGATAGAAAAGGTTAGAAATACATTTTATTTATTTATTTATTAATTTTTTAAAATATTTTCCGGAAACACATCCGCGAATTTTGATGGAAACTCTTAATGGAGTAATAATTTCTTGCCAATGCATACATAGTTCATAGTAATTATTTTAGAAGCGTGAACGAAAATTGCCGTATATTTAAGACTTGAAAATAAAATAATTCCTCTATTAATATAAATTTTTAATAATAATCAAGCAAATGAATTGAGATAAATGATATGTTACTTAAGTAAAATGAGCATCTAATACACTTTTTAAGAGATTGAAAATATGATGAAATAAATATCAAGTATTTATTAAAAATACATTTTTCGTTTAAAGACTTCTTAACATTAACGTATTTTAATAGCTTTTCAGCTTTTATTATTATTATTTTTTTCTTTTCATTGTTTTTTTTTATAATAAAGTAGTAAACTCTTACAAATTATTATTATTTTCTGCATGATTATTATTAGGTTTATATCCTTTATCCTTTCACGTCTTTAAGTACAATCAATTTTTAGATTCATAAAGGTTCAGATTAAAAAACTTTTATCCGAGTATTCATAATATAGGTCATATTGTCGAGCTTTCATGGTTAACTAAAACTAATTTTCTTTGAAAATTTTATAATTTTTAACTCGAATTAAATATTTGTATGATGTAAAATTGTATTTATATTAAAATTGTTATAATTTGATCCAGCTTTGACAAATTTACTGAGTGATAAAATAATAACAAAATGCACAAAAATTAAATTGTGGAAAAATGTTTTACATTGACGATATTATTTTAATACCCATTGAAATTAAATAAACTACGAATAAAAAGATTTAACTCTCGATTATGTGTCAAAAGCTTTATATTCATTATGTTATAAATTGATATTATTTTAAATGTCATTGTACAAACTGCCAAAGATATATATATGTAATGTTCGTGAAGTAAAAAAAGCACTGTTCCGTCCTATTTATATATTGTTTTACGTGATCAAAATCTGTTTCCACCTCGTTACAAATGTTTTATATATCGTCTTTTTGTACCATTACAAGCTGTGGACGTCTTCTCGATTTCGTCGATCGTTCTTTCATAAAGATGAAAGAGAAAAACTATTGTACGTCGGCACGTGTGTCACACAATATAAAGGTTATTTTTTATCTTTAATGATAATTAATGTCTGTACATTTTGCACGTGTTTGGAATTTACATTCAGAAAAAATCAAAAAAAAAAAAAAACAAAAAAAAAATAAAAAAAAACTGACGAACATCATAATAATACGCTACTCTGCTCAAAATTAAATTAAATATGCACAAAAATGAGGGAAACAATCAGATAAAAAACAACCGTCCTGTAAATTTCGGTCTTTGTTTCTGAATGTAAAGTCGAAGGTAATCAAATTATTATTGTAAAAATCGCCATTGCTAATATTAGTATATAAAATTAATTTTAATATTGTTTAAGTGCATGCTTGTAACTTGCGTTCTCGATTTTATATAAGTCAGAGTACTGTAATATGTTATATTATTATTTTTATTATAATTATTATTATGAATATTATTATTATTATTCAAATGAGAGAATTGTCTATACGTGTATACTTTATATTGCGTGAAGATTATATTATAATCTGAGAAAAGAAAACATTTTATAACACTTTGTCGCAGAATAAACGTATACGTTGTTCATGTCGTGTAGATTATTTGTTGTTTACTTTTTTTCTTTCCATACGCAGATAAATTTTTCCATATGTAGAAAGAGAAATAGTAAGGTATGACCTATACATATGTTTACAGAAATTACAAAAACTAACCAAAGCTATGATATAATACAACATTAAGTTTCATTGTATGTATGATTTCATCGAAGTTACACAAATATATGATAATAATGATTAAGTGAATTTTTTACCTTCTCTTTCCTTTTTTATTTGTTAAAATTTTTCCTATACAAATAATTTGTATGCCTTCAATATAATATGTAAAGTGTAAGTTAACCAATTTTTAGACATATAAGTTATACATGTAAAACATAACATGAATAAATATAAATTATTGTAGAACATTTAATATTAATTTTGTAACGATTCCTATTCTATTAAAAATAATTTAATATAGTATACGCTTTTATAATATAAGTTATAAGTGTTTTTATAAAAAAAATTAGAAAATCTAACTGAATAAATTAATGTTAGTGACAGCAATTATGCTACAACTTATATTAAAAAAATTACCTGCAAATTATTTATTTATTATAATAAGATATTGCTTGAAGTTTAATCAACGTTGCAAATTTTATTCATTTTATTATTGCTTAGTAAATGCTGATAATTTATTTGATTAATTTGAACCATTTATATACTAGAAATGTAGTATGTGACTTCAAATTTATATTAAAAGTAAACTGAAGAAGAGCATATCTGATCAATTTGAAACGCAAGTGCTTATAATTTACTGTAATATTATGTGAAAATTTTAATTAAAAAAATTTTATTTTAATACCACGAATATTTAAATTTGTAATCATTTTTATTTGTTTTTAGTTTTAAAAATATGAAGAAAGAAATAAAGTTTCAAAAGCAAATACAAATATTCAAGTTAAGTATCTATTAACAATATTTCAATATGAAATTTGTATTTCACTAGGGATATTTAAAATTAATAAAATTTCACTTACTTCGACATATATAAAATATTAATTGAAAGTCTTTGTAAATAATAGTTCACAATTACGAAATATTTTGTAATGTCAAAATGAGTTTCTGTATATTTATAACCTCCTACGAATTATGGTAAAACATATAAAGTATTTTATGATTTTATGTTGATAGCAACTTTATCACAACAAGATATATTTAATTGTTACATTTCGATTAAAAAATTATCTCTGCATAAAATGATTGTTAAGATGAAAAATAGAATATTCTTTTTCTTAAATTATTTTTATTTTTATACTACTAAAGCTAAATATAAAATTTAAATATTAAAGTTTAAATATTAAAAACAAATTGAAAAGTAGGTATGGAAGTTTAATTGTCAAATATGTATAGAACATATATATAGAACATACTATATTTTAGAGTAGCGTTCTTTAATCCTTTTTATTCATAGTTTGAATTATGCAGATATTGTAATAAATAATTATAAAAATAGGAAAAAATTTGTATACTCGTAAAACATATATTTAATATACTAATTTTCGTAATTTGATCGTAAGTTTCTAAATAACTTAAATAATATTTTTCAGACTGCACCACAATAAATTTTATCTCAAAAATTCAATTAAATTTGTTAAATATTTAAAAATGGGTAAATAAGTTTTGTGCATATGTTTGGAAAGTAATATAGTACCCAAATATTTATGAAACACTTGTCTTTGGTATGATTGACAAAAAACTCGCTTCTGAACAATATTTTGTATTCAAAATAATAAAAAATATTTCATTGGAATATTGATATGAATTTTTTATTTAATTTTATAAATATCTAACATAAAATTTAGATTAAAGAAATGTGCATGAAAATAATTATAAATCCTGAAAATTATTGCCATTATATTAACATTATTTGTGGTTATATAAAATCTTATATTCAACTTTTATTTTAAATTTTTTCACTAATTAATATTAGATTAAATTATAGAACAAATATTATAGGATAATCAATTCTTTTAACAATGCGGTCTAAATTTTGAATTGAGAAAGAAAAACTTCTATAAAATATTTGCAAGGAAAAACTACTCTAAGCGTAGTATAATATATTTTTAGATTTTTTAAGTAATATAATGGATAAAATTAAAAGTAATATACGGAAAAAATATCTATATATGAAGATCTATATATCTATATAGATCATTATAATTATCTAAAGATAAAAAATTTATGTATTTTAATTGCTATAATCTATTTTTAAACTATCTCAATTGAGGATGCTTATCTACTAGATTTTTTACTTTAAATACACTAGATAATTTAAAGATTTATTGAATTTGTCAATCAATTTTTCAAATATTCTCAACCCACATTGATGCGATAGATTAAAAAAGAGGTTAATGTATTTAACATAATTTTCATTTTATCTTAATTGAACCATTTGAAAAAGAGGTGAAACTTGTTAAGTATTAATGAAAAAAAGATATTGGACACATTTTTATTTTATTGTCTATTGAAATTATTGTTTACACAAGACTTGAAAATATTATTTTTCATTTACTTTCTATAAAAGAAATATCTCATAAATACATATGATATTTTATTAATGTAAACTAAATAATCGATCGAACAATTTTATGACAGTTATTAATGCTTCTTTTTTTATGTAATATAAAACGAGTAATATAGTAATATATATATATATATATATATATATATATATATATATATATAAGTTTGAATAAAAAGTAAAAAAGAAATTGACAAAACATATATATTGCAAAAATATAAGAAATTTGAAAAAATGGACATTTCAACAAATGAATTAAAGAAATCTTATGTTTAAGATGTAAAATGTATTAAAAATTTCTTTAAATTTAATTTTTTAATATCTTATTTTAATAATAAAATATAAATTTCAAAGTATCATCAAATATCTTCTCTTAAAATATATTGCAATACGCTTGTAAAATTTTAAGAAATATATTACGATTTTTTAAATAATTCTATTTATATAATTATAGATAATTAATTTTAAATTATGGAATTTTTTTTCCATCTGCAAACTCTTTAATATATAATTTTTGAAATATGCAGCTGAATATCTTTTTTAGTTATGACTTGACAGTAAAATCGCGGTATCAAATATTAAATTTAAATTATCACAAACGATGGTAAAAGTGTGATACTAAAATAGGGAAAGGGACAAAAGAAATTTCTGATATTATAAGCAAGGAACTTTGCTTAATCAAGATCCATTCAAGTGGCTATTCACATTCGTTGCTTTCTCGAATCGTGCCGTGATAGATGTAGAGCTTGGAACGCCTCCTAGCGAAAACGTTTTATTAACCTTAGGACTTTATTTTGTTCCTTTCCACTTCTACGCTGTACTGCTTATATGTTGCACGCGAAATCTCAACGTGGATCGTATGATAGTAGTAGAGACGAGGGTTAAAGCTAAATTGGTATCCAACGACACGCAAACTATATAACGAACTTTGCGATTTTAGAAAATTCACTTCCTTAAAGGTGTAAGTAAATGAGTGACGTTCTTCATTGCTTACCATTTTTATCTGTACAGTTAACTATGAAACTATATTGTACATAGAAGTGATGAGTCAATAAAGGATATTAATTTTATGGGCTG